GATTTTTTTATTATGGAAAACAATTAATATTTATATTACTTATGTCATGCTGTAGACATATAAAAGCATCATAAATGACCAGTGCTCTGTAACTTCTTTAGGGTCACTTGTTTATTATATCAATAAAGGATGAACAACTTCTACATTATTAGTTACAGAGAATTCTTTGGTAYGTGTTGAATTCATTCGAATACAGCATCATTTGTCATGTACTGTTAAAATACTTGATAGAAAGATCCCAAAGCATGAGGCTGACTTGAACCTTGCTTATGGTGCTGTATAACTCCAATGTCACRCATAAAAATTGGTTCTTTTTCTGACAAGCCCTGCATAGCTGCAGCACCAGGCCCTCAGTGCACTGACCTCCATGGTGAAGGGAGGAGGTGTTGGTGTGCACAACAAGGCAAACTTAACATGCACACAGAAAGTGCCAGCAGGGCCAGAGTGTCCATCCAGAGCTGCAGGCTGAAAGTCCCAGCTTGAAAATGCAGGATCTTAYTCCATTTGCTCAGAAGTGAGAGGCTGTATCAGCACTGCCAGGTTTGAAGTACATCMTCCCTGGAAGGCTGAAGGACTCCGAGCTGGGGTTCAATGCCTGCCCCACGTTGCCTTGTAGCTTTGGACTATGCTGTGTTGATAGGGTGGGGGAGATGAGGTATCTCTTTGGTGTTCATTATCYAGTCTGGTATCATTGTGTGAAGGACAGCTGCAGCATTTTTTCACCGTAGAACAAAATGGGAGAAAGTGTTGCTATATACTAATGATTTTTAAAGATGTATTGATGTGATGAAAAGGATACAGAGACTTAGAGCCTGTAGCCTTCTGGGGTTTACCTTCTGGAGACAGGTGAGAGCTAAGAATCATCCKAAGCAGCATGGGCTGGTTTCAAATACTTTTCTCATTACTTCTTACCTTACAGCTGCCCAGAGACTTTTATAGGTTTTGAGTTCAGGTCTCTATGTTCTGTTAAGTTCTTCCTGTCTCATTTTTTTTCTTTTCTTTTTATCTCTTTCTTTTGGCCCCCGATCTAAAGAAAGTTAGAGAGGATGGAGGTGGGGAGGAGATGGGACAGAATTCTGTTTCACAGTTGTTCCTTTATGTTACAATTTAAAGCTCACAAAAGAAACATGAATGTGACTCCATCTTGTACACATCTGTACTACCACTACCAGTCCGTGGATCAAAAGATCATTTGAGGAAATAGCTAGACCTTTTTTGTGTTTATTTTAGATCTCCCTTCTTTTATTTTATTTTAAAACAAAATTAAGGACACTCCAACATGTTGCCCATAAGAGTTCTGTTACAGGTAATTAAATGTAAGTTTACACATTTAATCTACTTTTAAGAGCAAGAGAGACTGGTAAATGACCCAGTTAAGGAAAGTACTCAGCCTAATTGGATGTAATGATTGCTTGCTGGTGTTTATTACTGTACTAAGAGTAGACATGTAGTCTGTGATTCCAATTTGGTTTAGAGACAGACCTGTAGTATTTGCACCTATCATCGGAGTTCAATTGTTTCTGCTAACCTTGTGAAATAGGCTGTATTCATTGRGGAGCTTAAAAGTATTAGAATGGAAGGAGCGCTATGTTTTTTCAATTATTGCTTACCAATTATTATGTTTTCAGACTATTTTACCTACAGTGATATGTTAAGCTAGATATGCTAGCACATATTTTTGCCTAAAAAAATAGAGATTTCCTCTCTTTGTATATGTAATGTAAGAGATCAACAATAACTAGATTTACCAATCAACTGMTTACTTATGATTTATCTGTGAACATTGTCTTCAGCCTATGAAATCAATGTCTGGGTTTGATTATTCCTATGTCATTCTGAAAGAGTTGAATTCCTCAGAAATGTAAAGTCACTGAGAGTTGACTCAAACCCCCAAAATTTTAGATGTCAATAATGCTTGTTTTCTAACATTTCCCTAATTATTGTCACCTTGTTGCAATTTGCACTCACAATTCTGGGCTTCCAGGAAATKATATCTAAGTGGAATATGTTGAATCATAGAAGGTATTAGTTGCTTAAAAATAGAACACTGGATTTTATGCCCAGAGGAACAGCACTTGGACTTCAAAACACTTACATAATTATTCTTTATTTCATAAGCTCTYAGAATGATGAATGAAATCAAAACTGACTTTGAAAAGCAAGGCCACTGACGACCAGCGCACTTAGCCAAGGTGTCTCAATGTTCGCTGTGATGGATTTGGGAGTTTTATAACATAATAGATCAAAAATGAAGTCAAAGCAACATTAAATTCACAGAAAAAAAGGATACTCAGAATGGAGACTTCTGCTTCATCATAATTCATTCTGTTGTGCTTAGTTGTTGCAAAGCACAGATTAGTAAGAGAAATTAGCTTTTTGGGTGCTATTACACAGACATAGCAATGTAATTTAATGTTACCTTTAATTCTAACTGRCTTCATTTATTGTGAAGGAAAGGAAAAAAAAAMCCCAAACCTTGATATTCTTTTGTTGATCTTTCAGTGTATGTTATTGTCAGCTATAGTTTTGTTGACTCTACTATGTTAGAAGTTCTCCTAAGGTTAAAGAAGGATGATTTGCCTATTGGATGTGTGCAGATGGTAATATTTTGTAATGTAATATGTGCTCCAAAGCCGTGGCTCCCTCTGAAACTTCAGTGCTTCAAAATATGAGATTATTGCTCCTCTTGAAAATATATATAAAATTACAGAAAGAAAATGTATTACCCAGATACAGATGGGAAACAGT